CTGCACTGGGGTGGCCTCACCTTGAATATTGTGTGCAGTTTTGGGTGCCACAATATAAGGAAGATACTCAACTATTAGAGAGTGTCCAAAGGAAGACTTTGAAGATGGTGAGGAGTCTAGAGGAGAAGCCGTATGAGGAGCAGTCTGTTCAGCCTGGAGGAGACTGAGGGGGGACCTCATTGCAGTCTGCAATTTCCTCATGAGGGGAAACAGAGGGGGGCAGACACTGATCTCTTCTCTGGTGACCAGTGATAGAATCCAAGAGAATGGCCTGAAGCTGTGAACTTGTGTCAGGGAAAGTTTAAGGTGGACATCAGAAAAAAGATTTCTCTTTTTTCAACCAAAGGATGGTTGAGCCCTAGAACAGGCTCCCCAGAGAAGTGGTCACCAGAGAAGTGTCAGGCATCAAGAAGTGTTTTGGACAACACTCTTGGGCACACGGTGAGATTCTTGGGGATGGCCCTGTGCACGCAGGGCCAGGAGTTGGACTTGGATGATCCCTATGGGTCCCTTCCAACACAGGATATTCTATGATTCTCTCTGGAGCATACAAGTACCATTCTGTAGCCTGGTAATTGGAACAGCAGGTGAAATTTTGGTGTCAGTTCCTCCTCCTTGACTAGTTACTAAGAGGAAGCCAGGTTGTATCTGTATAAAATTATAGACTATTCACTTTTTTTACCCAATTACCATTCAATAATTCTATTCCACTTATAACACTAGGTAGGATTGTTGCAAAACAACATATATAAATATGTATATGTAAGTATATATAAATTTTTTCTTAAGAAAGGATGTTCTTTGCTGTTTGTTCTTTATTGCAAAACAACATATATAAATATGTATATGTAAGTATATTATAAAATTTTTCTTAAGAAAAGATGTTCTTTGCTGTTTGTTCTTTGTATGCTTTTAAGCCTAATCAACAAGAAGGGATATTCAGTCTGTGAGCAGATAACAGCTAACAAGCTCTAAGTGATGTCCAGGTGTTAGAAAAAACAAATTACTTGGTAGAATTGCCTTGTTAGGGTTTAGAGCTTGAAATGCTTCAATGATCTCAGATCTAGGGGAAGGTTAACAAAGCTTGGGAAGGAGGATGTACCACTGATAGTGGACACAAAGAACATGGAATTTACAGGCCACAAAGATATCTGGCAGAACTCCCAAGATAAAATAGGAACTAATAAACCCAGTGATTGTGCTGCAGTCAGCTCTGACTGGGTAAATTATAATTCCATCATTGATTTGGGGGGAGATTGTGACCACCAGCTCAAGAAATTACCAACCCCAAAGAAGAGAAAGACTGAGCACAGGACTAATTAGCATGAGAAGCAAGAGACTCATTAACCAATAAAAGAACACCAGTTAATAAGAGAACTATGTAACTTTTAGCCAAGGAACACTAATTCCTTTGTTTGCTAAATTCTATAAATAGTAAAAAGTTCTGATGGTGTAAAAGTTCTTATTGTGTAATTTGTGCAATACCACTGATTGTGCAACTTTGAAATAAATAATCAATGTCTCTCTTAAGTGTGTCATTACTGATTTGTTGCACACTGGGTAAAAAATCTGATTTTGGCAGAGGAGGTTGCTCAGCATTTGAGGCAGTAGCTCCTGCTTTCTGTATGTTATCATTTTAGAGACTGAATTAATTATTTAAGTATTCCATTGCTTTCTTCAGGTGCTGCTTTTTGTTTGTTTGTTTAGGCACACACATTCAACATCAATAGACTCGTGCTGAATCAAGATTTTGAACTGTTACTCGAAGAGGAAGACTGTCCCAGTCGTAATCTGCCAGGCCATTAGGTTTTCTTTCTGGTTTGTAGCAGAACCCTGAATCAAAAACTTACTACAAAAATAAACACCATTGTCACAATTAAAATCTATGCAAAAAAAAGATAGCAAAATGCAAATTTATTTCGTGGCTTCATTACAAATGTATTTACTTCCTGCTCAGCTGAAAATAAATTGGAACGTACCATTGGCAGTCTAAATTATTAATATTACATAAAAAAAGTTCAGCTCAGAAATCACAAGCTACCAGTTTCAATACCTGTAGGGATTTTTCCTAACAAAAATACTCATTTTAAAAAGCCCTGAACCACTTGACATGTATCATCACTGACACACACTGAACACCCATGCCACAACACGGCAGTGCAACTTTCTAACACAAGGTAATCAGTCCTCCAATGCTCAGTAGTCCATGCAGCTGTGCACATCCTCTTCCTTGGAGGGATATATAGTCCTTTAAAGCACAGAGTTCAAGTTGCTGTGTTTATAACATTACACCTATGTACAACCACTTCACGTTATTGTGGAGCCCAGCACAGTCTGAAGTGCCCTTTACTAGTGGCACCTGCTGCTTATGGTGTTCCATGACACAAATTTGGCTCCCTCAGCTTTTATGTCGCAGAAATCCAGCCATGTGATCTCACTTTTGCTCCCAGCAAAATTTAGTCTTTTCCAGTTAAACGTGCCCTCATTAACACACATTTGCTAGAAAAACACCAAGAGCTGTGGAAGGGAGGACTGTTCAGTGAAAGGGCCAAGTTGAGAAGCACATGGGAATCTACATGTAACAACACGTATGTGTACCAATATTCATGTGAAATATGGGACACAGGCAGGAACCAGCAAATAAGTATCAAAATATATCAAAACAAAAAAAACCTCACCATACTGAAACACACACTGCTGTCACATTTAACATTCTAACACCTACAGCTTGAAACAGCAACTGGAAGTTAAGGGAAAAAATACAAATCTTACTGTTGCGAATTCAAGGGAAAAATATAAATCTCACTGTTGGAACAGTTGCTTTAGAATTGCTTTTTAAAATAGGAGTGAAGGACACCAAAATTCAATTCAATAAGAAGTTGTTACTGTTCGTTACAGAAACACAAACAAGCTAGCAATGAATCAAACTGGATGTGAATGTTATGTTTTTATATGCAGGGGTTTGTTGTTCAATGCTTTATCAGTCATGTAAATTTATCAAAATTAGTTTTCTTCTACTCCCTCATCCAGCTACTCTCTGTCTCTCAAGGCAAGTACCTGCCAGTTTGCTTCAATGCCAGTCTTTCAACATTCTTGGCGTCAATAATGTATGAGAATGCTAGAGGGACCAGATTACTTCGTGTATGGGACCAGATTACTTCAACTGAAAGCAGCAGTGAGATTTTTCCTCATGTATATGAGCTGATCACCTTAGTTACCCTTTGAAGTTAGTGAATACGAATATCTCCTTCAAGTATGACTTCTCACATCCTAAAGATTTTTTTTCCCCAGTGACTATAAAGAGAAACTAGGATGAATAGTTTAGATACAGGTACCTTAAATATGAAGGAAAAGGTTCCCAGTGAATAGGCCAAATATTTTTAACAAACCATTCAAAAGTATTATAGATTTTTATTTCTTAGTGCCCATAAACACACACACAACCCACATCTCTAAAGTTTAAATACTATGAAATTAAATAACAGGAAACTTTAGGTACATGTCATTGGTCTAGCCACAATAAAGACATACAATCAGGGAACTCCACTGGAAGTTTTTGGTGAAAAGAGACTAACATCCATAGCAGTCATTGTGACTATTTTCTTGACTCCAGTCTGTGCATTAAATCATTCTGCTTTATCTTCTCAGAACTGTATTTGAGCAAGTAATCATTAAAAAAAAAAAAGAAGAAAAAAAAAAGGCTTTGTAATTTCCCTAGAGAATCAGACTGGCCAACTGATAAGGAAACTTTAATCTTCTAGAATTAGCAATGGGAAAAAAAATCCAGCATGCTGGAAAGATAGGCAATATTTGTAACTACAGTTATGTACAAGCCCACTTTTTCTTAATCTTTTTCTCTTTGAAGTGTTCTGCACTGTTCCAGGAGTCAGTTATGAGGTATGAAAAACAATAAAAAGGTTAACATTATAACCATTTTAATAAAAACCACTGCACTGTTTGCACTTTCAAAATATTTCTGAAAATAATGTAAAAAAATATTTAGTATTCTTAAAAGTCTTAAGGAAGTTTTTATTACAAAAGAGTCATCTTTGTGGCTTCTTCCAAACACAATTCTGCCTCAACATTAAACTCAGACATATGGGTGTGCTTCATATTACCATCATACAAATAATCACATTGAATTTCTATAGCAGGAAATATTATATAAAACAAATAAACCCTCACAAAAACATATACAGGTAGCCAGAAGAAATTATGTTGTCTGTAGTGAAAAGTAAACACTATTTTCAAACACTAACAAAACATCCAAATTGTTTGTCAGTCTCTTCTGTCTTAAGACTCTTGAATAGAAGGACTTCCACAGAGGAATTTCTACAACTTTGGTTTACAATGACCTAGAAAAAAATCATCCCTCGTACATAATATTGATCTAGTGGATGTCTTTAAAGCTGATATGGAAAGCAACAGGGAAAACTACACATGTGGACTTTATGATGAGAATAATAATTTAAACTCAGGATGTCATATTCCAAATATACAGAAAAGACCTGATTATAGTAAACATATTTATCTTCTGCTATAAATTAGCTCATCCAGCCAGATCCCTACTCTTCAATGCCTCATGACTGAAGAAGCGATGTGTTCTCTCTATCTGATGAATAGTAGGCTATGTATGGAAAGCCTTAAGAACCTGCTGCTTGTACTGAAGGGTGTATCTGTTTCAACACCTTTCAGACACAAAAGTTGGTACTAAGGTAGGCTGGTCATTGGAAGATGATTAGCCATACTGGTGCAGTGCTCTGTTATCAAAGAGCATGCTTGGATCATATTCAGAAACAAACTTCTGAAAATTTTATCCAGAAAACAGAATAAATGGAGACGACTGCCACGGCTTTGTACCCTGTGTGAACTAATTAGTCCCACTGAGAAACAGGCTATGCCTGTAGGAGAGGAGCACACATACATGCCTCTGGCACCACAACTAAAACCAGTATGTAGCCATGTTTGTTTCTTCAAAGGCCAGATTTGTGGACGCCTTGCTGGCTAGTTCTGCAGTTGGTGTGGCAAAAATAATGCACTAAAGTGTCTGCATGACTTGTAGTACCCGAGCTAGCTTTGATCATACAGTGCTGATCAGTTTCTCCCAGGAGACATGGATGGTAAGAATAAAGGAATATGAAAAGACAGGTAAAGTTCCCAAACTTTCATATCCAATAGCAAACTTCCAATCTTAAACAAACAAAACTAAACATCTCAAAAAACCCTAAAGAAACTGGAAAAACCAACCACCAGCAAATAAACAGACATGTGACTACTTCCTGAAGCAGGAATGTAAATATATAGTACATGACAAACAACTCTGGACAGCCAGAGTTCAAATGTGTATTAAAGCATAGCCCCTTGTGAGAGGTAACATGGTATCAACATAAACCACCTCTGAATCATCCCACATTGATGTGCTCAGTTTATGCATTAACAGCTATGCTTATTTATCTGCCCCTTCAGCAAACACACGAGCCATGGGAGACAAAGGTGAAGCCAAGTTCTTTCAGGTAACAGATCAACAGCCAAGGTCAGGTTACTGCACAGTTACTGTTCTACAGAAATTCTCTCTTTATTCCCCAGCAATATAGGAGCTGAAAGGTGTAATGTCCTTAACCAGAAAGCACTGAATTGCCTGGGAATGCAGCAATTAGCTCCTACAGACACTGCACTGTATTTAAACCACTGACCTGCCACAGGAGCTAAAGCAATTCTGACTTGTCCATGTTGTCTGTGGTTGATGAGACTGCCTGCAAGAACAGAAACTCTACCTGACTCCTCTGTTGCCTCACCTTCTTTTCATTAGCTGCTTGCTAAAATCTCTATCTTCATCTAACAGTATTTTCTACACTCAAGCATACCTGAGCAGTACACTGGCTGACAGACGTTTATGGTCAAATCCTTGCCCTTATTTACTCCTGTACAAGTCTGACACTTCACAGGCTGGAGAGAGAAATGAGCATAAGGGCTTAACCCAAATTATGTGAGTACACTGATGTGCTGGAGAGAATTCATTCTTCCACTGACTCTGCAGGACTGGCACTGGAAGGCAGTAATAAAACTGAAATAGACAGATATTCTTCATACTTGAAAAGATCAGGATTTAAACAGGAAATTGCACTTTTAAGTATCACTTTCAGAAATAAAACTGCCTCCTGCTATTCATCCCGCTACTAAAAAGTCAGATGAAGATATCAAATTACACACGTATGCTGTGAAATTCCATCTGCATTGCTTTCATATACCTATAAAAATGTTCTAATGGACTTTAAAAGCAGTTCAAGTAAAAATAAAACGATCCCTCAAGCTGAAATGTTAGGATCTGTAGGAGGGCAAAACTGGACATTCAAGTGTGCGGTGCTGGTGGTGTTGTTTTTGAGAAATGATGACTGAAGCCTGCACATGGTCAAAAGTACCCATGTAACAGCAGTTGTAAACAACATGCATGGGCAACCTGAAAAGGAGCATCAGGCACCGCCTTTCTTTTGCAACTGCTCCAGTTTTCTTCTTAAGAGGTTGTAGTTTTCCCTGGTTCCCGGTGCCATGGGATCAAGCTTCAGAGAGACTTCATAGTGCTTCTTCGCCAAGTCAAGGTTTCCCCAGCGATGATAAAGCACAGCTGGAACATCAATGGGGAATTTCGTTAGCAATATTGTTGAATAATGTACAATCTTGCCAATCACTTGGAGAACAACATTGAGGTATTTGTTTCCAGAGAGGGTTTGTCACTGGCTGGTGGCACAGTAGCTGCTTGTTCTGTTGCCAAATGCAGGAGCAAGGCCTGGGAGCAGAACTGGCATGGGAATGATGAAGGAATGAATTACAATGGAGCCATAAATGGCAGCTCTTATCTGGTGAGCTCATTGCAGGTTACAAGCATAGCATAAATGAACCAATTTGCAGACACTAAAGTGCAGCTACCTCTGGGCTGGATTTTGCAGCCCTCTTGATCTGTCATATCGTGTGACAGCTTTTCTGGCTTTAGTGCCTTGTTCTTCTGGCTGGCAGTTCTTCTAGAAAGTAAAATAGAAATCTGCCCAGCAGGAAGAAGGCGCAAAAGATTGCTTTTTCTTTTTAAACACAATGAATATGAAGCAAATAAACAATACAGCTGATAAGATTTAGAAAGGCTCTTACCCAAATTACCGTGATAGCTGGCAGCATTCGGATTGGCTTTAATTGCCTTGAGGAACAAAGCTTCAGATTCCTGAATAATTTAAAATAACAAGTCATCAGGGAAGTCCATTCTCATATATATAAAACAATGCCAAATTTACCCACCACTGTAATTACAAACCTTCCAAAATTATGCCATATCTATATGATACCACCATATAAATATCCTAAGCCTGCCTGATCTGTAGCTCAGGTGGCTACAGCCCCCTGAAACCAAAAATAATGCTGCAAATAAGTGTCATGTTTTCACAGACTGCTGTTATTTTATCAGAAATTTATTAAGCACTAGAGAACTTTGCTCTTTACCTAAAGTACCTTTTTTTAAAATAGTTATAGTATTTTCAAACATTACCTGCTGAAGTTTTCCCTACTTATGCAATCAAATTAAGAAAATGTAATTTGGTATCTAAGCAAACTGCTTGTAGACACTTTTCCTTTTACAACAGTTTTAGCATTAAAAATAAGGGCATTCCAGTAAATCTCTTTCAAACAGATGTTTCAGTGTGGTTCCCCATGAAGAGTAGCTGAGTACCTTTTACTTAAAAAAACATGCCAAATCTTATCATGCCATGCAACATCCTTCACATTTTCCTCAGCAGTTATCTTCTTGCATTAGTGTTTGCAATGTGTGCTCTTAAGACTCTTGATATCTGAGTACCTCTTAGAAAACCTGAGGTCCCTCACCTAATATTCAGAGAATAATTTACTGCTAAATTTTTTCTCTAATTAAAACAATTCTGTTTTTCCAAACTAGCTGCTAATATTGATACTTTTTTCCCAAGCAGATTTCCTGCAGAAGTTTAAACAGTCACATCCTGGCCAATCCAAATGGAGCATATTTACTTGCTGACATGCAAGTTTAGATACCTGAGAGCAAATTTTACACAGATTTCTATGCTGTGCTGTGCTTTAGGGAAAGTTGTTCATTCAGTTTCAATGCAAATGACCTAAAAATAAAATTACCTCAATGTGGTAGGCTTCCATCTGAATGCACATACTTGCTGTCTGAGGTATGTGAGAACACTAACATGGAGAAAAGTCCTTTCCTTTGTGCTAAGCTTTCACTGCTTAAAATAAATCACAGGCTCTACTGAAAAAGAAAGCCTGTCAGCCAGATTTTTGGTTCCACCATCTTCTCATGTCAAGCATGAAATAACTCTCTGTAAGGGTCCCTTCAGGGGAAAAGAAATTTCTGATTTCAAGATTGAGTCACTCAGCTCTGAGTGACTTAAGATCCTCCCCATATGTCCAAACCCAAACTAAAAGCATTGCTGAGCACAGCTGAGGCTGCCATTCTCAAGCCAGGAGAGACTTGTGCAGAAAGTGCTTTCATCTCCACAGGTCAAGGAAATTACAAACCCCAGGGTTCTCTGAGCTGGGCCAGTGGAGGGCTATGAAGATGATGAGGGGACTGGAGCATCTTTTATGAGAAAAGGCAGAAGGAGCTGGGCCTGCTCAGCCTCAAGAAGAGATGACTGAGAGGGGACCTCATCAGAGTCTAAGTATTGAAGGGAGGGTGCCAAAGGATGGATCCAGGCTCTTCTCATTCATGCCATGCAACAGCACAGGAGGCAACAAGCAGCAACTGATGAACGGGAAGTTCCACCTGAACATGAGGAAGAACTTCTTTACTGTTCAGGTGACAGACCACTGGAACAGACTGACCAGAGAAGTTGTGCTGTGTCCTTCCCTGGAGATATTCAAAACTTGCTTGGATGCAATTCTGTGCAACCTGCTCTAGGTGAACCTGCTCTAGTAGGGGGTTGGATGAGACCATCTCCAGAGGCCTCTTCCAACCCCAGCTAGTCTGTGATTCTGATTTTGTTTCAGGACAAGGAATATTTGGATAGGAGTTAACAAGAGGAACCAGATACCTGCAAATTTACTTCAATAGTGCAAGTTTTAGCATTGCTTTCCTACGGCATGAGCAGTTACTCCAGCATTCTCATATCCAGACTATCAAAGTCCCTGGATGCATTGGTCTTTTTGAAACCCACACTGTTTAGTGATTTCATTTGTATTTTGGATGATGGGACTGAATGCAGTTTCAAAACTTTACAGGTAGCACCTAAGAGGAGGGAGTGAGAAATACATTGGAAGGAAGAATAGCTATTTTGAGGGACCTGGGCAGGACAGAGAAACAGACTAGCAGGAATCACAGAATGGTTGAGGCTGGAATGGACCTTTGGTGGCCATGTGATTTTTAATAAGCACTTCTGAGACCACACCTGGAGTATGTGTTCAGGCTGGGGGTCTCCATTACAGAGAGACACAAACATACTCCAGTGAGTCTTGCAGAAAGCCACCAAAATGGTACAGGGCTGGAGTACAAGATGTGCAAAGACCAACTGAGAGAACTGGATCTTTTCAGCCTTTGGGAGAGAAGATGAAGGTGCTGCCTACAACTACCCGATGAGATAATACAGAGAAAATGGAAACAGACTCTTCTCACATGTCTGTGAGATGGGATGAGACATAATGGACGCAAACTGGCATACAAGAAATTCCAGTTAAAGGAAACATTAATTTTTTTAATCATAAAGTTGGTCAAGCATTGAAAGATGCTGTTGAGAGAGGTTATAGAATCTCTATTGACAGAGATATTCAGGATTCAACTGGAACTGGCACTGGTTTGGGTTAGGGGTTGGACTAGATGACCTCTAGATGTCAATTCCAGGCAAAATTATTCCACGATTTCCATGTTTCTCAGTCACCTGAGAAACATACTGAGAATCAAAATTTTGGCAAGTAGTGCAGGATAACCTCCTCTTTTCATACAACTCTCAAATCCTAAAAACAGTGGATTGGCACCTGAAAGCATGCAGTAATTTCAAGTCCCACAAAGTTGTGGTTTTTCCCACTCCAAATTGTAGTATTTTGGTCTAGTAAATCTCTTTTTTCCTCACTGGGCAAGTTAACAGCAATCAAAATGAAAGATATACTGAACATTTAAATCACCTTATGCCTAAAAGTTGCCACCTACACAGAGGAGGAGCACCTAATGTATAGACTTGCATCCTTTCACTGCTGAAGGACAGTGGGACAACATGTGCAATGCTCTTCCAGGTAGTTTAATGAAATAGATATTCAAGAGCTGGCCGCCATTACCATACATCTTCAACTACATGCTGAGAATATTTTTATCACCACTACTTTGCTCAGCAGCTAGTAGAAGCATAGTGGTTGTTTAAAGGCTATTTAAGGTGCATCATATTCATATTACTGTGGATATATGGAATAAATATACATTCCAGTACATCAGTGGTATTTCAAATTGCTGCATCTTGCCAAATCTTCAAGTGTTGCCAAGAAACTTGCAGCTTGCATATAGCAAAGGCTTGGGGTAAGCACACTGCATTCCATCTGCTGCCAAGGCCACAAAATTGTAGTCTGGCTTTATTTCAAATACAAAAAATGCTGAATGGTTTCAGTTTATTGCACTTTTTACAGAAAAAGCATAGATGTATATGTAACAAAAATATAGCACACATCTTTTTCAAAGAACTAAAGATAGCTTGGTTCTTAATCAATTGAGATAAGAACAAGCATTCAAAGCAGAATCTAACATGGTATAACAGATGTTAATTGAAAAACCCAAACAAAACCACAGAAACAGCTCATCCTTTATGTGCTTTTCTCTCTGGAACAATAAATCATTCATCAGTGGATACAAACATAAAGGGCTAATTTTTATTTTTTGTGATGTAGGAAACCTATCTTCTCCTGAACATCAATGTGCATTTGAAACTGAAGGAGTGTGCTTATTGGAAGGAGGAGAATTTTGCATGCTTATTATTGGAAGGAAATCTCTCTACAACATAATAAAACCTTTTTGACTCAATGTCTTTTAAAATAAGAGATAACAAAAAACCCCAGAACTCATCTTCCTGTGCAACAACAGAGCCCACATAGTAGCAACTTTTATACAGACACATGACGAGTAACCTAATAAATTAAATGCCTGAGGTTATACAACACATCAGACACAGCCCAGCAGCACTCTGAAAATTACCTTCATCACCTTGACAGTCTCCATCCCCTGTTCCTCCCCTCCAATTCCATTCAGTAAAAATCCTTGAAGAGCCATCCACTCCTGTTTTTACATGGTGAGGGCCTGGACAAGAAATCTGAAAAAAATTACCTTCATCACCTTGACAGTCTCCATCCACTGTTCCTCCCCTCCAATTTCATTCAATAAAAATCCTTGAAGAGCCATCCACTCCTCTGTTTTTACATGGTTTGGGGCTGGACAAGAAATCTGATTTTTTCATGCTTTTTTTTTTTTTGTCAGTAAGCATTCTCCCATTGCAAACAAATCTGTATCTCCTCTTTCCAGGCAATGCCAAATAGAGCTGCTGAGAGCATAACCTTTGTGAGTGAGTCGTCTTTCCAATTCCCTTAATTTGCTCTCCCTGTTATAACTCATCAGTTTTTAGTGACTAGTTAAGCTTTACACAAAACTACTACTCCATATTGAACTATTAAAACACTCACTGGCGCCCTGTATTTTTTTTTCCTGGGCTCCACTATTCCTTTTGCTTTTATCAGAATGTGGACTTAAAAGCTGCACTTTCCCCTACTCTTACTTCTGCATTGTCTCCAACACGTTCTCCTGCAGCATAATAACCTTTCAGGGCTGGCAATCAAAACCACTATCCTCTTTTGTATTTTTTAAATCCACTAAGACAGACTTGTCTCTCCTACACCTGGAAAAATTTTCTAGCTTGTTTTCAACTTATTTTTTCACTTTATTTCATTATAAATGCTCTGTATTCTGTCATGATACATATTCTCCCTGATGAATGACTATAAAATCCTCTATTCTTCCACAGGCCTGACTCACCAAAATAATTCTAGCAATTACCTCCTCCATAATCTCATATCTTATGCATTCTGGATGTTAATTTGTATCATTCTGGAACTTTGTTAAACCAACCTGAAATATGTATTTTATAACAGTCTCAGGTGGAGAGAGAAAAAAATTAGAGTATCCAGGAAAAAAAACCTAGCCAGTCTAGAAAAACAGTAACAGCGTGTTTAACAGCATCACTTACACAAACAAAAGCCAGTGCTGGCTTGTCACAGGCCCTGGCCTCACATGTGAACAGGTCAGGACTCCACAGCTGATCAAAACTGTAGAAATATAAGTGGTCACAGTAACTACTGACCAGATGTATCTATTTGGAGAATCATGGACTTATTAAAGTTGGAAAAGACCTTTAAGATCACAAGGTCTAACTGTAAACCCACATCACCAGCATGTTCACCATTAAACCATGTCCTCAATATTTTTTGAACACTTCCAGGGATGGTGACTCCACCACTTCCCTGGGCAATCTAGTCCAATGTTTTACAACCCCTTTTGTGAAAAAAAAAAAAAAAAAATTCCTTATATCTAATCTAAACCTTTCCTGGTGCAACTTAGGCCATTTCCTCCTGACAAGTTTCATATCGTACAATCTTCTTACTTTGTATGTAAATGAGGATGTTCCTGGAGTGCTGTTAACATTATCGCTATCAAAAAGACATCAAACCCCTTAAAAGCCTAAAAAAAGGTTCAGTAAATTATGTTTTTCTAAGGAACACCAAGGACTTGATTATTAATTTGTCCCTATCACATACATAAATCACTGATTATAGAGTCAGTTTAAACAACTAACTATATTCAATGTGTATGATTTATTTTCTGTCATATAAGCTTATCATCTGATACAATTCCCTTTGGAAAACAAGTCATCCTCATCGGTTTCATTACATTTACTACTTGCAAATAAAGGTAGCTAATGCTGAGGTACCACTCACAGGCTGGTCAACTGCATCCAAGAGAAAGTTCAATACATTGAGCAATGCATGTTCTTTCATAGCATTCTGAGATCACCCAGGTATCCCATCCTCAGTCTGGGATGAACAAACTAGTGTTACTATATTTTAGAATGTGTCTGAGGCAAAAAGGCTAGAATTCTTGTCTATCTATCTGTCTATCTAAATATATATATATATATATATGTATTGACAGAATACACAGCAAAAGCACAAGGACTAGCCTGTTCTGAGTTCCTGAAACAAGGTCTCTAATTCAATGCAGGCTCTCCCTCGACTGTGAAGCAACACAAGACCCTAACTGCCCTCTAGTGTGCTTAAGAGCCTATTTCTCTCCACTGACCACTGACATAGTGTGGGGCAGCAACATTTGTAACCCAGGCATCTAAAATAAGGAGGGATAAGCTCAAGACAGAATCACACACCAATACTGTGGTAGAAAGGGGCACTGAAATGTTTTAAACAGATTATCTAAGTCATAGTCCACAATGATCTCCTCAAATAGTTTCTACAAAAAATGTAGATGGAGTTTAATTAAGGGAAAAATCCCAACTAAACCAACCCAAAGCCCTAGAGTCAAAAAGCTCTAGTTACCTACCTTATATTTTTGTGATTTCCCCAGTACATTAGCCAAGGAAAACATAAGGGAATGATCATTAGGTATTAATTCCAGGGCTTCTCTTCCAACTGCTTCTGCTTGAGCTAGATTGCCTGGAAGCCCAGGTAGCAGAAAAAGAGAAGGCATGTTTTAACACACCCTTAGTTCATGCTGCAAGCACACATATTTTACAAATAGCTGACTGCATAATTTTTTAGAGAAAACCAGGTATCACACACACACAAATGTAAAATGCTGCAGACTAATGCAACAGAATATCTTAATTTTTTTCCAACAGATAACAACTTCAGAAGAACAAGAAAGCAGAGATTAAAACGTTCTGGAATTTACTCTATAATACAAACATGCTTGCACAATGATGGCATTTTAAGTAAGTATCAGAAATTCAATTTGTGCGCTGGATTTCAAGTGATGCATTAAAATGACCAAATCAGAAGGTATTTTTCTATTATTAGAGGGTGTCTGGGTGGCCAAAGAAGAGGTAAAGATCCTTTTAGATAAAAATGGATAAAGGTTTAAGTTTTTCTAGACACTGAATTATTCATTAAAACATTCAAATAGACCTTTACCTGTGTTATCAAGCAATATTATCATATTGTTCCAGGCCAAACTGTGTTCTGGTTTCAGGACTGTAGCATTCCTCCATGCATTCAATGCATCTATATGGCGATTCAAATCTGCGTACTAAAACAAAAGAAAAATCCAGTAGTTTTGCTATTACTTGCTTTACTTTCCTATCATTCACTAAAGACACTAAAAAGTTGTTAATGTCATGTCCTTTCTAGTAGGATTTCTTTTTACGGACAAAAATAAACATAAAAGGAACACTCTTGTAGTATGGAAGATAAGAATGCTATATACTAATTTTCCTTTTCTTTCCTCTGGAAGTGAGGCTTGTCTTCAAATATGCATGTTCCAATAGCATAAGGAGAAGAAACAGCATACAATTTAGAAATCTACACAAGAGATTTGGTAAATATTTAATGTACATATTTTCAAAAATCTAATTTGAATTTTTCAGCATAGCTGTACTACCTAACAATATACTAAGGAATGCAAAACATTGGGAAATTATCAATAATGCCTTTTGGAAAAAAAAATTAAAATCTGTATTTTTGTTTATACTTCTTTATATGATAAAGTAGGATTACCAAAGGTTGTATGGAAGGAAGTATATTGGGAAAGCAATAGGAAAAGCTACCAAAAGCATGAAATCACCCTAAAGTACAATATAAGCAAAGTGGGATAACTATCAGCTTTTAACATTACAGCAGAATTATATAAATCTATCTCTATATATACATACAGAAAGACATACAGATTCCAGTCATTGCTATCATTTATTCAAAAGCACTTACCAACCGCCCTAAATTGTAGTAACAATCTGGATATTTTTTTCTGTGTTTAATTGCTGTCCAGTAGCTTTGCTCTGCCTCTTCAAACCTTCTTAAACTGTTCTGCACTATTCCTAGATTCATCCACGCAGCAGCAAAATCAGGTCTGGGCAAATTGGGAAAAAAACACCAGGAGAGAGGACAATTAAGCATTTGAAACACAAGATCCTATTGTATCATTTTGGCTCAATTGGTGCAAAACACTGCTTAGCATTGGTCTAAACATACTGTATTTGTACAGCTAAGGACAGCAACTCCTCTGCTTCATGGAGCTCATTTCTTTCTTTCAGAATATTTCCAAGGTTGTTCATGGCATGCACATATTTTGGATTCAACCTAAAATTTAAAATGTAAGAGATTATTATTATGTATGGACATGTATTAATATATGCAAATTGCTAGCTCTGCAACACTGCAGAACATGAAAATGAATAGCTAAGCATTTTCTTCATGTTAAACATGAAAGCAATTTTAGCAAAGATCATTAAAGCAGTAAAATTTCTAATACCTTACAGCTTCTCTGTAGTATTTGATTGCAGCACTTTGATTTCCTTTGTCAGCCAGGTTTTTGCCAACATTGTAGTGCACCTGAAAACACAGATGGATATTCCACCAGATGCCACACAGTCAGATATTTTGTGGAATCAAGTAGCTAAAAATCTTTCTCTAAAAAGAAACAGTCAGCACTTGTGTCATTCATTGCTGGCTTTTGGTGTAGATTGATACTTAGGATTGGATAATTCATACAATGAAGACAGTAAGACAAAATCCGAGGTACAGATCAGTTTACCTACTCCAGTTATTTAAGAAAGATTATTAATTTCCTAGTTTTATAAGTGAGGTCACCACACCTTTCACAAGGCACCTGGTATGGAGACCTCCTGCTCTTAATTTTGTTTGTTTGCCAGGTAAGAGAAAGTTTGACTCAAATCAAATCTATCATAGCAGAAGGAACACTACAGCAATGTGTCAAACTTTGTTTTCATTATAGCATAAACTAGAAGAAACTCAACATTGACAAAAAACCCAAACAAAAGGTAACAGGCAGGAACAATTATTATATAAGGATAAAAATGTATCAAAGAGCATTTCTGAAATAATATATGTAGCAACATGTTGAAGACTTTGCCTGTTAAAAACTGAATGATGAAGGAAGGATCTAGAGCTTTCAGACTATAGGAAGCGGATGCATCATCCTAATTTATGGCAAGAGTAAATAGGAATAAATATATATCAGGACAAATCTGAGTTGGAAGACATATCAAATCCCACTCTAAGACAAATCTCAGAAGACTGTGTTACCTGGTTGAAAAGTACTGTGAGTGCTGACTCTTGAAAAGAGATTTCTCAGCACCCAGATCAGGACTCATTATTTAGATAACTCTGCTATTTGAAATTTAATTGTATATACTTCATCTAAAACACATATGGTAATTTTTTCCAAACTTTGAAAATCTAATTTCAAAACAGTATACAGGAATAACTTCAGATTGAAGTCCAAAAAGATAGGTCCATAATGTACTTAGATAAATCTAATTCACCTTCTACATTCAAAAAAGGATTTTATCTGACATGTCCATTAACTGAAAAACCCTAATTGCAGTTGGCACAGTGTCTGGAACCTACTGATCCAGCACACATGAGTGTTGGAGCCTAGTTGTTATGGTATTTAATTGTTGAATTTCATCTCTATATGATGGTAACTATGCTGTAACATACCACCACCAAGTAAAGTTAAGGACATTTCCCATGCTTCCTCAAATGGGAGAAAAAGTATTTTCACTGGTTTTAGGGAGAACAGAGATGCCATAAAGCTTATTAAGCATGCACAAAGGCATCTTCTCACACTGTAAGATATAAAATAGCACACAAATTCAACATCCCATAAAAGCAGTTCTAGCACAGCTTTCACAAAGAAAAAAATCCTGGCACTGTACTGTACACTCATAAAAATGTGACAAGGTCCATGGCAAAGAAGCAACAGAATGGTACATTTACATCAAGAAACAAACAAATGAAGATCCATTGACAGTGTCAAAGAATACAAGAAGATAGAGCAGCATTTTCCCAGGAGTCATTAAAGTAAAATGAAATACCCTGAAAGATGTTTCTCAGGACTGAATTCTATTTATATATCTCTTCCAGAAATTATTCAGAACACTAAGATTCTTACCAAGTTGGATTGCTCTGATTATGTATGTTGAAGTTCACACATTCAAATTTTACCCAGATAAAAGATAAATTGTGGCAACACAAAAGAAATATTTACATATTTCACTGAATAGTGGATGTTAGCCCTTGAAGTACGTAACTTTACACTTCAGCAAACAAAATTATATTTAACTTGATTGAATTTTATTCTTTAAGAAGCTTTACAAAATGAAATTTGACTAAAGACTGGGACAGAGCAGATGAGAAAAATCTTGGTGCACACCAACCACTCAGTCTTTCACATGTCAGCTGCCTTGTGTTAGGAAACAGTACTTCACTTTCTATTTTTCACAGTTTTTTTAAAAACATGTAGTATCTTCACATCCATTTTTTTCCCAAAAGTACCAGCAGCAAGAATATTTTTCTCATGTAAACAGAATTGTGCAGTCTGAAGAAAACGGAGAGATATCAATTCTCTCAAGTCAAAACATCAAATGAAGTATTAAGTGCACATGTACATTTTGTGAACTGAACTAAAAAGATATACTATAGTCTACTAAAACTGATTGAACAACTATTTAAATAAACTATTAGCCTTTCAAATGGTATATTTCTTTTGCCCTCAGCTATAGCTCCTGTGTGAAAGGAAATGATGTTTCTATACAATACCCCCAAAAATGAAGGGCTCCTTGCTGTATGTAAGTTTTCTAATTTCCTTTCAAGTGAAATTTTAGCTTTAGTTCCTCTTAATATGGTGGTGACAAAGAAAGGAAGAGGAAAAAAGCCCAAAACCAAACATATCAAAAGAAGTGCCCAGCCTACCATAAGCATCCAATGATAAAGGCAGTCCTGCAATGGGTTATAAGATGCAGCCACATCCTGCTCTTAAGAGCAGAAGCAGCAAAGGGTTTCCAGCCACATCCAGTGACCTGAGAGGTACTTTGCCATCCAGCTGTGTCTCTCACTTCAGTGCCACAGCAGAGAGATGCCAAGGTCAGCCTTTAGCTCACTGAAGGCAAGCCTGCAGTGACCACTCTGTCTGCTGAGCACAGGGCTGTGACTCCCCTGCACAGCACGGGGACACAGGACCTTTCCATGTACCAATGGGTGGGAGGAATCTGGTCTTTAATAACGAGAGGCCAGTGAGTTGTTTAAAATTTCATGTCTAGACGTGTGGTTCTTCTGTTTCTGACAGATATTGTGCATGCCAGCCTGGGAGGGAAGATTTTCCTTTCCTGGTTAAACATTTAAGAGCCCTTTGTTATTAAATGATTAAATATTAACTGGAAATGACGTATTACATTATACTCAGATGATCCTTTATCAATCTTAAACAGGCAATTACTTTACAGTAATAGCTCTAAAAGGAGCATTTTTCAGGGATGCATAACAACATAGTATTCTCAGAAATCTAAGAGATCAGGTAAAAATACCCTAGGGTAGAAGCCACTTTCTCTCATGTGTTGTTTAACATAACCATAGCACCAGAGCCTAGCCAAGGAATAGGCTCTATGTATTTGTCTGTTCAATACCTCAACCAACCTAAGAAGCCAGTATAAAAAAGAAAAAGCGCTGCATATTATTCTGTGCCAGATATACATAGTACTTGAACTCTTATTTAAATGTTATATTTAAAGGAGAGGAAAAAAAATATTTTCCTGTACAAAAAATGAAGTTATTGCCAGACTGATTTTTTGGTTTTGTTTTCCCTCAAAGCAGAACAGGAAGAAATTGAAATGTAATATCATCTTCCAGGAAGTACACCCCCTCAGCTGGAGCATTACTATTATCACCAATTTTACTCTCTCTTCCTGGCTGCTGATAATCTCTTTTCCAGCGAATATGAACATTTACTGAAAAGGATGAAAGCAAAGCACAGATGTCAAAATTTCTACAGGAACATGCAGATGCCTCTGTTCAATGCCAGCTTGTGTCATCAAGCTTCTCTTTCTTCTACTACTAAAATTCTGTTTTCTAAATAATAAAACAAATATTTTTTGGTATTCACATCTTGTTTGTGTACCTAATGTTGTCTAAAGATTATTCTGCATGACTGTGCTTGTATACACAAAAATTGACATTTAAAATGGTGGCAAAACACTGCAAATAGTCCGTATAAACACAGCCCACAGCACTCTAGGTAAATTCCTGAGAAGATAATCCTTTTTTAATATAGAGCATAAAGAAAAAAAATCTCAATATCTAAAGGAAATGCCCTCTAGATCAGCTTCCTTAAGGATCAAAGATCAGATCCTCAGGCAGCATTAAATCTTGTTCTGTAACAAAGAGGTTTTACAGGACCTTTTACAAAAATATAGAAACCAACCTCACAAACTAATTGTACCTTTTCAGTATTAGCATAGCTCTTCTCTGACAAACTTGTATCTATAACGATTGCAGTTTGCATAAAGCATAAATTTCAAAGTTACTTACTCTGGTATGTCAAGGCAGATAGTTAGCAACATTATGTTGGGAGTATTTTAACTTCCTTGCTTAATATTGCAGAAAAGTTTTCAAAAATTATGTTTATTAATTTCTATCCTTTAAAGAAAAGCCAGTAGCAAGGAGAATGTAGAGATTATGAACAAAATCACAATAATTTACAGTAATTTAAATTCAGTTATTTCAAATCCAGGAAAAGAAAAATGCTGGCTATTTCCCATGTGTGTAACAATGTAACTGCAATTATTTATTTAGATAATCAAATCTAAAGAGGAGGTTATCCAGGAATCAAATCTAGAGAGGAGGTTATCCAGGAATAAAGACCATCTCTGGATTCTTAACTGCTATGGCTTTTCTAAAAGATGACAAAAAATAACTCAGTTCTTCCAACAATGCAAACATTTCCAACTGAAAAAAAAAAGCAGCAAGATGAGCATTTTTGGGAATAATCTTTAAAATTAAAAGAAACAATGTGTAATGACTTCAGAAGGTGAGGAGCAATCCAGCAATGTCTATAAATAGTGAACAGCAGTAGGAAAGGGTCAAAATCTCACATATCCACATCTGCTGTAGTTGTCAGGACTTCTTTTATCATCAGTGGAGAGAAAGACAAATCTAGGATACAGTCCTTCTGACTTATGTCTCTCATTTAGGCCAAGGAGAGGAACTAAATGCTAAAAGAAACAGCTTCTCCTCCCTAGGAGAAGAATCCAACCCATACAGTATGAAAAAGATGGTAGGAAAAATGGAACCAACACAAAGGCACCTCCTGTTCAGCTAAGGAAAATACTGCCATATATATTAAAAATGTGTACTGTTTCAGTCTCATGGCCTTTGAAACCAACCTGAGTGCAGGGCCACACAAGTTCAAATGTGTGACATGCTCCTGGACATGTTTAACCAAGATCTGTAACATACTTTTTTCTCTCTCTTAAAAAACCCTACCCATCCACCCACCCACCACGTATTTTATATTTATATAAATATATATATACACACACACATATAACAGACATATAAAAAACATATATATATTTAAATATTGTAAATAAATAACATTTAAAATAAATTTTAAAATATTCAAAACATTTAAAAATCTGTATTGGGAACTTTTTTAGAGGTCAAAATATTTGTAGCTTTATTTATTTCCAATAAATTTTAATCACTGAGCAACATTTATTAAAGTTGATTTTAAATGTCATCCTCTTGAGCCAGATGTGTCAAGGCACCAGATTCACTACTGTGCCACACAATCTCATTTAATGCAGTTTCCACATTTTTATCTAAAGGGTATGTTTAAAGAAATGAGTCTTGAAATTAGACAAGGCAGTGCTGTTACAACTTGTTATTTAGAATTAGGGTAAGTTTACTCTGTACTTCCCACACAGACAATTTGGAATTGAAAAGAGCTGTACAACAAAACTTGAACAGATTTTTCTGCTACTGAGGATTTGAGATTTTGAGATCCTGATACATAATGGAAGCAAAGCATGACCACATTACACATATTTAATATGTTTCAAGAACAACAAGAAAAAGCTATTATCTGTGTGCCATTCTTTGGTCTGCAGCAGCCTCCCACTGAAATAAATGGGTCACTGAAAGAAAGTCCTGTGGAGTAGTTTTTAAAGGAAGCCTGTAATTTCAAGACAACTGAAGATCAAAACAAAACCAGGTGCAAACTTTTACATTTACCTTTGTCAGAATTAAATAAATATAGCTGAGTTCATAAAGAAAAGAAGACACAGGCTCTCATACATGGACTCTCTAATGTTCCTGCTTAGAAAAATTCCTGTCTATTGTGATTTCAAAGTTACATTCTTCAGCACAATGGGAATGTGAGCCTACAATCCTTTCCTGGTTCACATTTCCATGCTTTCCACTTGCACAAGCTGTCACCAGCAGAAATACAGCTCAGGCATGTCTACAGTGCCCAGTGTTGACAAACACAAGCTCATTTTGCCTCTACATTCATTGGCTTGAAACCAGCTGCATGAGTTCAGGAGCTTGTGCACAGCTTATCGGCTCCAGCGTGGTACTGTGGGAGCAGCCACAGCTTCCCGGCCAGCTGTGGCTGGAGGCCAAGGAGCTCGGAGCACAGGCAAAGAGTGTGGATCTGTCTAAAGCACTCTCACCATGGCAGATGGATGGAGTTACACACAAAGAAAACAGATTGCATTTGCTCCATTTATAGTATGTGCTTGTCATCCAGAAGACAAGACATACTGAGGTCATCATTAAAAAGAAGATGGTTGCCTACCACTGCCACACAAAAAAATACAACAGCTCTTTCTTATGTATTAAAATCTCAGACTACTAAAATATGCCACCATGTTACAAATATTGGCCATAAATGTTTTTTACAGCTCACTGTTGCATATTTGTATTCCAGTAATTGCTAAATTTTTCATTCTCTTTGTGAAGCTGAGCATTCACAGGTTCCTTTTTAAACCCTGTGTCTTGATTGGTATTTTCTAGAAACCATTCTAGATTACAGGAACCTCATCTTTTAAAATATCAATGTATTTTTATCGACAAGCTGCACATTCCCACTCCCCGGGTTTTCAAAGAGTCTCTTTACTAAAATTCAGACAACATCAGGGCTCAGTGGTGTGCTCCAACAGATCACGCTCTTGGCTGTCAAAGGACTGCTGTGGAGGTCACCTCTGCTGGAGGCTGGAGTCAGTCTCCAATGCTGAGCACTGCTGCTCAGCTCAGTGAAACATCCTATCCAGCCCCACCATCTTACTTGTTCCCTCACTAAGCCTGCAGGGAAAATTGCAGCTTTCCTCAGTGCCCATGTCTGAAGAGTCTAGCCCGCTCAGCTGCTGTAAAAAAGCAGAAGTGGGAGCAAGATTTTACTCCCACATCTCGCAATTGCATTGATGATATGCTGCTTTGTCCCTCAGCTGTGCTGGCTTTATATACCACTGGAAGGTACACAGAAGGGATTCTAAAAACAGCACAGACATTTTTCAGTTGAATACATTGCTACAACTTACTAAGCTTGTTTTGATATTTTTGTCGCAATAACTTGCAATTATACACACAATTCTTCTAAATAGATTTTATTAGCAGTACATCCAATTTGACTTGATGCCTTTCTTGAAGAGCATTCTCCCCTCTCCCTCACCTCTCCACTCCCACCTCCAAGTTCTGAATTACAATATTGTAATTTGCACTTTCTAGTATTTTGACTATGCTGCCACTGTAATTTAGATGTCTGACATGTCAATGTCATTCCTGAACCCAGCAAGACTGTGAATAACACTGTAGCACAATATATTAACTATGCATAATACCTCCTTGACCCCACATTTCAAAACACTTAAAAACAAAAGAAAAATAAAAAAAGATTAGAAGTCAATGAGTGACTTACTTTTGCATTCAGAGGGCAGACAGACAATGCACTCCTAAAAAGCTGCTCTTCTGACCTCCACTGACTGCTGCGGAGCGCACAGCGCATTACATTTATCAACAAGATTCCAAGTACTGCCACAGCAAGAATTTTCTTAAGGAAAGAGAGCCAAGTTAAGAAACAAATCATGCAATTGAACTGCTTCATCATCAACAACTTTACTGATTATTTTGATGGTACCTTTTTCTTGGCTTGCTTACTCAAGAGACTAAATCCATATGTAAAGAGAATACAATATCCAATACTGGGGAGGTAGATGACTCTCTCTGCAACAACAAATCCTACTCGGAAGAAGAGATTACTTGCAGGAAGAAAAGGGATAATAAGAAATCCAAGTCCCAGTGTAAGGATTCTGCAAACAAGAAACATTCTCAGATTAACTACAAATCTTAACTAAAGAACCTTTTCCACTTAACATATAAAGTTTATTTAAACATGGTAGAAAGATCTGCATATAGGACAGGGAGGCACTTTAAAAATCATTGCTATAATTTCCAGAAAAGCAATATTCATAATTCCAGGCCAGAAAATAGCCCCATTACATATTAATTATATAACTCCTATTTAAAATACACAGGCAGGAAGAGTAATGGTAAAAGCTACCTGTCTATTTTTGGACCTAGTAAGACAGTAATGGGGGCAAAAACCATAAGTCACTGTTAAAGAAGAAACTTAGGTGCACATTCAGCTGAGAAGGTGTTTTTTCTCCTAACAAACACATCAATAGTAGAATCCATTGTGGTTAACCACTTGAAAGTTAGACATTTACTCTCGTTCTACTGACAGAAGAGACACACAGTTTTTGAGAGCAGTTTCTCTTCCTTTTTTTTGGCACCAATGTTAGCATCCTCAGCAGGCACGTCATTATTGACTATACAGAGCTCAGACAAAAGAGTCTAGGTACCTCATTTTACAGAGTGGGCATAAGGGAATAAGAATCAGGTCTATGTCAGGTGTTTCTTACAAAGGTCACGGGCATGGTAATTTTCTATTCTAATTTATTACAAATTAATCTCTACACTGTAAGGCAGATGCATCCTACTTTTTCTCATCCCCACAAGTCCTAGGCCTTCACTATACATTTTGTCTTCACTTTTACTAAAAATCTTTATTTAGGAATAAAGGCTTAGTGAGTGCATTTTTACTAGAAAGTATGACATCACTAGCAGCAGGAGTTCCACCCTCTCTCCAAAATTATTTATCTATGCAAATAAGTATGGGAACAGCAGAAAGGCAGGCGGGTGCACTGTTAACTTTTGAAGGAATGAGAAGGAAGAGAAGCATAAGATTTTGCACTCTGAGCAACAGAATTACCTCTGTTCGTGATAAAAGGAAAACTGTGGAAAATGTGGAAGCATTTGGGAAGCCTGGCTACCCAGGACATGGAGAAGGCTGAGGTATTCAGTGACTTTTTTGTCTCAGACTTCACTAGCAAGTACTCCAACCACACTGCTCAAGTCACATAAGGCAAAGGCAGAGACTGGGAGAACAAAGAACTGCCTGCTGTAGAAAAAGGTCAGGTTCAAGAACATGTAAGGTGCACAACTCCATGGGATCTGGTAAGGTGCGCTTGCAGATCCCAAGGGAACTTAAGATAGTGCTGAGCTCCTACCCATCATATTTGAGAATTCATGAGTCTGCAGAAGTTCCCACTGACTAGAAAAGGGGAGATGCTCATGTTTTAAACAGGGAAAAAGGCAGACTTAGGAAACTAGGTCAGTAGGTCACCTCTGTGCCTGGCAAGATCATGGAGCAGATCCTCCTGGAAAATATGCTAAGGCACCTGGAAAATAAGGAGGTGATTGGTGAAAGCCAATCTGGCTTCACTAAGGGAAAAATGTGCCTGACAAATTTTATAGCATTCTACAGTGGAGTTACAGCATTGTTGGATAAAGGAAGAGCAAGTGATGTCATCTCCCTGGACTTGTGCAAAGCATTTGACACTGTCCAGTGTGACATCCTTGCCTCTAAACCAGAGACATGGATTTGACAGCTGGCCCTCTTGGTGGCTAAGGAAGTGGCTGGATGGTTGCATGCAAAGAGTTGCAGTCAATGGCTCAGTGTCCAGAGTCCAATGACAAGTGGTGCTCCTCAAGGGCTGGTACTGGGACTGGCACTGTTTAACATCTTTGTTGGTGACATGGATGGTGAGACTGAGTGCACCTCAGCAGGTTTGCCCACGACACCCAGCTGTGCAGTGGAGGGAAAGGATGCCATCCAGGGGGACCTGGACAGGGTAGGTGGGCTGATGCAAACCTCATGAAACCCAAGTGCAAGGTCTGCTGCTTGGGTCAGGGCAATCCCAAGAATAAAGATGGCAAGAACAAAGAACAGTCCCAAGAACAAGGAAAATGGCATGAGAGTAGCCCTTAGTAGGACTTGGGGGTGTTCAGCGATGAGAAGCTGAACATGACCCAGCAATGTGCACTTGCAGTGCAGAAAGCCAACCATATCCTCCTGGCTTGCATCAAAGCAGCATGGCCAGCAGGGCCAGGTCCTGCACATCCTACTCTGCTCTGCTGAGATCCTAGCTGGAGTGCTGCATCCAGCTCTGTGGCCCCCAAGACAAGGAGGACATGGACCTGTTGGAGTGAGTCCAGAGGTGGGCCATGAAGACGAGGAGAAGGCTGGAGCACGTTTCCTATGAAGACAGGTTGAGAGAGGTGGAATTGTGTATCCTGGAGAAGAGAAGCCTCCAGGGAAACCTTCTAGCAATCTTCCAGTACCTAAAGAGGGCAACAAGAGAGCTGGAGATAGACTTTTCAAAAGGACATGTAGTGACAGCGTCCCATTCCTAGAAGTGTTCAAGGCCAGGATAAACAGGTCTTTGAGAAACCTGTTCTCATGAAAGGTGTCCCTGCCTGTGGCAGGGGGACTGGAACTACCTGACTTTTAAGTTCTCTTCCAACTGAAACCATTCTATGACTGAGCAGTTGGAAAATTTTAAGGAACTGAGAAATTAAGTCTACATAAAATCCATGGTAACAGAACCTACAAAGTTAAACAGAAGCCCTTAGTGAGAAAGAACAGTTTACAATAAATTTTTTAGTTTCTCTGAGTAAAGTACAAGTTGTTTTCTGAGTACCTACTATGGGTCAAGCATTTTACTTTTTAACTGTATGAACATGGCTAGTATTTCTACCTGATTTCAAAGCACATCACCTCTCTTCCATTATTAGGAGGAAATTAAAGGAAATTATCACTTGTAGGATGTACAGGCAACAACAAACAATTTTCTACTGCGTTTTGAGCACATATTACTTTTTACCACCTACAGTGTTAAGGATTTCAAAACACTATTTCAGAAAAAAAAATAAAGCAGCCATCCATACCTCCTCCTCCAACTCTGTTTCCTACTAGTTGGTGTACAGTGATGGACCCAAATTGGGATAAAACTGTAATGACAGCTATAAATATTTATTTGAACTGCATTTGCTAGACACTGGTTCTACTGAATTGTTAAAATTATCAGTAGTGGATTTAACAAAATAATACTGTACTCAAGTTGGCCAGGCATTTAAAATTCATCACTGTCTCTTACCTTCTCTTATGGCTGTCTTCTGAGCACAGAGCTTGGCATATCAGACCAATTAGGCAGAACCAAAGTGCTGCTAGTGCAATTATCCTCCAGTCGCTGACGGATTTAATGAGGGGTATGCAGCCCATTGACCAATCAAAACACAGCCACCAGGGACACAACAGCAACCATGCATTCAGTGAATAGTAGTAATTATAGTTTATAGCCTGTCAGTCAAAGAGAAAACAAACATTTATTTGATACTAAACTTGGCTGGGGGGGAGAAGGGGGCAACTTTAGTCCATTTCTCTTCCCTCATTTCCCTTGTAACACAATAGAGGACATGAATACTGTTAGACTACAACTATTTACATATCCATTACAATTACAGCTGTGAAATTAAATTTTAATTTTCTATTAAACATAGCTAGGTGGCTCTCTAGTTCAGAGCAGGGAAATGCAATTCTGTGCTGTCCAACCAATATTCATACATAAAAAGAACAATCTGGTACAACAGGAGAAAACATCAAAAGTCATCATCCACTGTCTTCATCTTTCATTCTCCATCTCTAGAAAGATCCTTAATGCCACCAGAGGTATATTGCTAAGACACACTCCAAATACACCAGACTAGAACTTCATGCTATTTTCTTTAGTTGTGAAAGAAGGTGAAAAGTCAAGCATAGTACGTGGAAAAGGGATGGAAATCAGCAAAAGCTAATTTCTTGCATGCATGGGAAAAAACTGAGATAATGGCAAAGTACTTCAATGTGTACAGTGCATGCTAAATTGAATGTAAAGAGTATACACTGTATACTATTAAAAAAAAATTGCAGAGAATCATCATGGCAGCACAGGTGAAGGTGACTCACCACACATATCTCGAAATGTAAAAACTGCCCATTTTATTCTTTCTTAGAAGCACAGAAAACTTAATTTTACAACAAAAGACAAACGTTCTGAGCTGGCCAGAAAAAAAGCAACTTTGTAACTTACTCTTACAAACAGACTGTCAGCGAATGAAGCTGGGTTGTCTACTTCAGTGAAAGCTGGTGGCCCTGTGCCCATAATCCTCCAGCGGATATAGAGTATCCCAGCCCCTCCACACATCAAAAGAGTTATCCTGAAGAGCAGCCCCTTCCTTAACAGCCCAGCATTCTACAGGAAAGAAAGAAGAAAAAAAAACCCACTTCATATAGAAACAGTATTTGGTCTCTTACCCAACACATTCACTTCCTTTTCACCTCTATCTCAGAAAGAAAAACCTATTCCTGTGTATTTTTGCTAGTAGAGTTGACATTTTAATGGGAAAGTATTTTTTGCAAAAAAATTTAATTTCCTTCTCAATCAGTAAACAAAACTGGTCACTTCAAGAAGACTCTCTTCTACAAATCCTCTGTAATTCTATAGCTGATGTAGTTTTCCATGGCATTTTCTGACAGGGAATTTGAGCAGAATACAGCCTTTAGTATACAGCATATTAAATTATCTTTTATTTCTAAAATGGAGGGTAAGTACTTTGGGGACTTTGTTTTAAATAGCTATTTTCAGCTGTCTGCTTGTCATGGACAAATTTTGTCCACTTAGATATCTTTAAAGGTAAAATTACAGGTATAGACCAAGAAAACTGCACAGTTAGGAACTAGGAGGAATTAGAAACTGAATTAAAATTTTCACACTCAAAAACTTGATTAAAAAGCTAATGACAGAGAGGCACCCAAATCACTTACTTCAGGGTAAATGACCCAAGATCAGAAAAAGTATAAAATTGTGTTTGGTATGTATTAACTCAATTGGTTTACATCATGCATTTCATAATACACCCTCCAGGCTGTAAAGAAGGCAAGTTACATAAAACATAAAGAAGTGATGATGTAGACAGTAAATCTGACAGATTTTTATATATTTTTCTCCAGAATGTATAACACGTTTCTCCAAGCACACAAACACCAAAAAACCAAACCCAAACAAAAAAAAACCAAAACAGTGTACTTCGTAGAGATTCATCAAGCTTCACCAGTGGAGACTGGAAACAGAATCATCAGTAAGTATAACAGTACACCAGTCAAAGATTTAAGATGGCACAATAATTATGATTACCTCTTAGTGGAATATGCTCTTTAGCAAGGACCATCATAATTGTTTAGGATATCAATATCAGCTATGTCTGAACTTTAAAAAAAAAAAAGAAAAAGGTAGGCTTCCTGAACAAAGACAGACATCAGTGCACTGGCTGAAGATACTTATTTTCTAAAAGGATGGAAAAGTTAAATTAAAAAACCAATTTTTAGATTACTTTTTAGTATTTGTAATTGACAATGGAGTCATGATAAAATATTTAGTTGAATACTTAAGAATAAAGAAGTCTGTAATTTTCATTTTATGTAAGCTAGCCTTTGTGCTCAAGTTATTGCTTCCAACCTGGACATCTCAGTAACCAAAGTTACTACAAGGAGGATTTAGGAATGGTTTTCCTATAAAATAGCTTTTGGAGAAAATTGTACTATGAAAAAAAACCACATGTAGTGAATATTTATAACTGCTTTATGACAGATTAACAACAAAATCTCTTAGCCCAGGGCTTCATTTCATTTAACAGAACATGCAGTCTCTTAAAGGCCAGATTTCACAATTGCCATGAAATCTCTCAGTAGGCAGAATGTGAAAGTGGAAGAAGTGTTATTGTATCCTCTCTGATTCAGAACTAACTGAAATCTGGCATGAAACTGAAACCTGTCTCAATCAAGAAGGAAAAAAAATGTTCTTACTTGAAGAGTTTTTAGGATTTACCTTTCAACAAAGCAAAACAATCTTAGACATGCTTCCTTGAAAAGAGCAGAACAGATTTTTGCAGGTAAGAGGAGCTAAAATTAATTACTTCTACTAAAAGAACAAGAGGGAAAAGGCCTGATGTTTTCTTCACTGAAACAGAACCATTTAAAAGTTCTTCTTTTAAACAGAAGCACACTTTGAGCTCTTCATGCTTAAAGAATAACTCTCCAAAAAGGTTTGACTCTAACATTTCCTAGAATCATAGAATGGTTTGGGCTGGAAGGGATGTCATGGATGTCTTTTGCTAGATCTGTTTGTTCAAAGCCCTGTCAAGTCTGGCCCAGAACACTTCCAGGGATGGGGTATCCACAAATTTTCTGGGTAACTTATTCCAGTGCCTCACCACCCTCATTGTAAAGAATTTATTACTGGTCAAACACTGGAACAGGCTTCCTAGAGAGGTGGTCTCCCTGGAGCCTTCTCTTCTCCATTCCAGAAGGCCATGAGATTAGTCCAGCACAATCTGCACGTGCTGAAGCTGGGTTGGCTGTCTCCAGACACCTCCCTATCATTTGCATGTTTTGACATAACTTCCAGGAGGATCTGTTCCATGATCTTACCAGGCACTGATGTAAGGCTTGACTGACCACTTATTCCCAAGGTTGTACTTATTACCTTTTCTTTCCAGCACTTAATTCTGAACTAGCTCTGCTGTAGATCCCTACAGCTCTAGATGCTTCCCTTGTCACATTCTAGTTGACATCAGTCTCCTTATACAGCAAAACTTCCCAGCATTCCTATTTAGTGCCTGAAACACTCCTGTAGTCCTCACTTAGCCCTTCTTGGTCAAATCTATAGTTTAATTTCTAGAGAACCTACTTCCCCTGTTTTCCCCTGAAGCTCTTCATTTTACTCCTTGCAAAGGACTTTAAAAGCCCCACAGGACTTGTGCCACTCAGAAATATTAGCGAGACTCCTCTACAGTGAAACCAGACTGAAGCAAAGTACAAGGAATATTCTTGTGGAATGTTGGATGAGAATCTTAGCTGTTCAACAGCCGTGATGCTCTAGTAGGCTGTAGGTCTATTTGGCTGTTATCCTTCATTGATCTGAGGCTGACTGTTTCTGTTACTTGCTTGCCAGTGCCAATACTAGGTGCCAGACTCCACTTGAGACAATATCAGATAAATTGACATCAATGAAAGTCAGAAAAATCAATCCCTAGCAGCTATCAGTGCTTACCTAACTTTTTCTTTTAAACTACAAAACTACTAGGACCCATTAACATAATGTGTTTTTAATGTACTTGTCTAACAATGTCATTGAGAACCTGCATAAATCTCTCCCTCTCTTTATTCTGACCAAACCATTCCAAGTACCATTTCAGGTGTATAGTTACTGACCTTGGAGAGCTTGTTGCCTCAGGCAGTCAACTGTTCCATATAACATTTTTAATATACTGTTGAGAAAATTGTGGAAGGGGTTTCACTAATCAATGCAATTGTAGCAATACCCCATTACCACTCGTGTTGTTAAGATGCCTTAATAGGCTGACTAATAATGCCTTTTTTGGTTGGTTGGTTTGGTTTTTTTTTTTTTTTTCCCTAATTCTCAGCAACAACAAAACTGCCAGAAGCTGAATCTTTGTCTTTTAGGACATAACTGTCTGAATGGCCAGAATGAACAAAACCTGTAAGAATGAACAAAACATCCAAGAACTCACCTCCAATGACTTGTCCTTATACAATAACTTTCGAATGAGCTCCAAAAGATTTATCTTGTTAATCACCAGTGCATCAAACACTGCATTCAAACCCTAAGGAACCAAGAGAAAATAACAGCATAAGATGAAGCAGCTAAACACAAATATTTTCTTTTAAATACATCTTAAATTGATTCACTGTACATCTTAATTCTGATTCCAAACAATTAGAGAGATACATTGGTAGTAATGATGGCAGAATGGTAAACGGAGCTCATATTAGTAGAAAAAATTTTACTGTAATGGAAATTCTCCATTTGCTACAGGGTATAACCCTTCAGGGAATACCATGCACCAGAAAGCTAGATAACATATGCATGGTCACAACAGAATTCTGATCTCCATCTTCTTCCCCAAACGTTCTGCAGTGTAAATGCTGCAGTCAAAAGGTAAGGCTTCTATCAGTAAGGTGGAGTTTTCTTAAAGCCTTCTACTTATTTTTTGTTGTATGGTATCTTTGGACTTCCATGTTTCAGAAATACTGTTTTTAAAGGGTACAGACAAAGGCTGAGAAAGATTTACCAGAGATATCAGACTTGTTTTTCTTGCATTAACAGCAATAAACACAGTGCAAGTTGTTGGGGCGGGGGGGGAAAGGGAAGAAGAGTTCTACATGACATCAGCCACTACACAAAACTAGAATATATTCAGTGCTTTGCAGGGCTACACTTGCACATAACTATCTCCAAGCAGTCAGACTGTATAAATGTGTCCAGGGGTAATTCTATTGAGGTTACCAGCAAAATCAAGCCTTAACATTTCTGCTTCAAAGTTTCAGCATATCACCATGGTAATTCTTGAGTATTTATCCTATATTCTAATAATTTCAGAAATTACCTCACTGTTCTAAAGACTAAAAAAACAAACAAAAAACCAAAACCTGAACTGAAAAAAAACCCCCAGTAAAACTAGTTCCAGGTGAAGCAAAGGGCTGGTACACTGGGAAGCCACAAGCCCCTCACTAACAGTCAAAGGCAAGGGACAGAAGATAGGTTAGAGTGTGGCTTTGTTCCATGTAGAAAGGCCACTTGGCAATTAAAAGGCTTTTGGCTCACTCAGATAGAAATAGAATTCTACTGAAAATCACATTCAGCCTCCAAGTAATCTTTTTAATGGGTGATTTAGCCCTTTATCCCTCTGACCTGTGCCCCTTGGCACAACAATAAATACAATCATCCTAGCAGTGCAGCAGCAAACAAATAAGATCACAAATCCAATAATAGTTCTGCATCTGATAACTCAAATAGTTACTTCATACTGCTAGAGTAGATAATTTAATGTTTTAAGACAATTCCTTACAGACACCTTTGAAAAACACATCACTCTACAAACATCTATTAAAAAAAATCCCAAATCAAGAAGTTTTCTGTAATTTCTTTTCCCTTTTCTTCTAACAAGGACAAGAGGGTCATTGTTGCAAAGAATTTTCTGATTCTGGTGCTTATCTATGTCACCTAAAGCTATACACTGGATTTATTAATAAAGATATATAGCTATATAAAAAGTAAAAATCACAGATACAGCATTTGAGGTGGCCCAAAAAAGCACTGCCTTCATTGAAGTTATAAAAAGCCAGACCACAATAAACATGAACAATGACTACATCTGTTTCCACAGACAGACCCTTAAATAAGGAAAAAAAGGAAGAGATGCAGTACTAGAAGTGCTAATTAGGCCACAATATAATTATAATTAGGGCCATAAACAATGGCCCTAATTATAATTACACCGTTCACAAAAGCAAGGGACTGGAGCTTTTAAAAATGCTCTCCTCCACTTACATCTTTGTTCATGAGCTTTGAACTTCTCTTCACAAGAAGTTTGTAGTCCTGCTATCTCAAGAATTTAATTCAAAAACAAGGGCAACAAAAGTGAAACTAATGGTGTAAAACCTTTCAACTTTGCAAAAATATATGCAACCTGCTTACAAAAGTTAAAGTGAAAAACTCTAACGTATTGGCAAAGATACAGTTAAGACAGATCTACAAGAATACTGCCTTTTGTCAACATTAATTAGTTTTCTGAACAGAATATAAAGGTGTGCATGTCATTAGCTGTGGAGAAGATTAATTTCTGTAGACTTTGCAACTATACCTGACAGATGTTGAGGTGAAAATTCAGTTAATAAGAGAATTCTTACCAGTATTGTAATTCCTTGTTCTTTGCACAGCATGGCTATTGCACCTAGGACAACACTCACCAGCACCCAGAATACAGAAAACGCATGTCCTTCCTTATCTGTTAAAATACAGAATGCCATATCTTTAGGCACTTTACACATTTAAAGGTAAATTAAAAGAAGAATTTAAAAAATAAACAGCATTTAGTATCACAGTCTTTTCTACCAGACAAGATCTGGACACACAGACTAAAACAGCATAGGGCACCTCCTGCAATATGCTGGCATTTGTCCCTTTATTGCAGTCATTTTCTGGTCTTGGAGACATTAGAAATGTCCCTATTTGCTTGATGTTTTAGCCAGATTAATTAGAATGGCAGAAGCTTCACATAATTTTCACAATTTGTCATCTGCAAAGGTTAATTCCCAATATTTAGAGACATTTATCATCCTTAGCTAGAGCTCTGTCATTACTGGCCACTCTCTTCCAAGCTACCATAAGAGCAAGAAATTCTTTATAATAGTTACTCATGAAGAGCCACACACACAAACTGTTTTATCTGCAGTCTAGTCTACAAAGGCACAATGAGCTGCTTCTTCAGAGCTGCTGCATTTAGCAAGTGCCTCATGTCATTTTATTATCACTGTGGCAGAATGCCATGGAGCTCAAAAATGTCAGCAGCTGAGCAGAAGCAGTTAGTCCTTGCACTCAGGAAGCAGTTTTACAGCAGGGTGAGGAACTCTGGGGTTAAGAGATCAAGAGCCACTAGAGCTTCTACTCAAATAAAAGGTCTTTAAAGACTGTACCATGTAGCTGATTTTGGGTACTACAAGCAGGCATATCTGAGATAAATATAACAATCAACCCTACTTCAGCCAAGGTACTATCACACACAATACATGGGTACTTCACACAAAACCATATCTGTCACAACCTCTACTCCATCGGTGCAAGCAACAGAGGAAAGCACTCTGCTCACTCAGAGGGAGGCAGTTCCTTGATTCAAGTAACAGGGGCTCTACAGGCATCACAAGAATCAATCTTGGACTTGGCGTGTGCAAAAACAAAGTTGAACTCTGCATTCATTGACTGAATCCCTTTCTTAGTTTCCTTGATCTCTAGAGCAGTTCTTCTCTACTGCTAATGCAGGTTTGACCCTCAGTGCTTAAAGACAACTGCAATAATGGTCTGTGGGAAGGGTAAATTGCAAGACTAAGATATTTCACCAGAAGTAGAAACCTACACCTAAGCTAGTGCACTAGGCTTCCTTTGTAACTGTCCATGAGCAGAGGATGCCTTTAGGGGTTAAGTTACCTAGCTAAATGCAGCTGAACTCCCTTCAGAGCTGTAACTCTGCGCTGATGATACAGGGAAACCAGTACACCACCTCAAATGTTGTTGGGGTCAGATATAAATCGTAACCATAAGTGTGAAAAGGATCTGCTGACATTGGCCTTCTCTTTCATTTTGAACCGGGCTACTTCTTTTGTAACAGAGAGCTCCAAACTTTTAATACAAATATGTCAAAGAACAGGTTTTGAGTTACTTCTAACCTAAAAAAACCCTTTCTTACCTAAGACTTCTAAAACTTCAACAGAGTGAATACTAAGATGTTTAAGATTCATCGTTGCAATACACAGAGGGCATTTGATCCTTCTCCCTCCACTCCAAATTATGTCTCCAGAGATGAGGTAAAACTTACATTAGAGGTGCAAATGTTACAAAAGATAAAAGAAAGTCTTCTTTTAGGAAAGAAATCATACACATCTGAATAATGAAAAAAAAAAAGGGCAAGAAAATACAAAATACATAATGACTAAAGAGACATTGGAAGTGGAAAAATTAAAATGCAATGGGAAACTCCAGCCCACATCAATTATACAGAAGAACAGCTGAGAGTTGTAACTCATGGAGGAAAGAGCTTGAACATTCCTTCTATGAGTACGGCTAAGACAGAAAGAATTCTAAATACATCCCTTCAAGGAGCTTTTCAGACTCTGCAGTACAGTTCAGCCAGTTCTTGAGAACCAGTTTTGGTGGGTTTTTTGTTTGCTTCTTTGTTTTGGCATTTTTGCTGTTGTTTTGGTTTTTTTCTAATGTAGAAATCAATAGCACAGAGTATGCAAGGATAGAAGGTAAAGTAATTGACTGTGTTCACAAAATGACCGTCAGTCATCCTCAGAAAATGTAAAAATGAAAATAGTGAAGACAGCCAATGGACTTTTACTGTGTTTATGGAAGCAGACTTTCTTCCATTGAGAGGTTTCTTCTTCTCAGAATCAAATTCTAGTGGGAAGGAGTCAGGACAACTAAGCACTTCTCAGAGAAGCAGTATTCAGTACACAAATACAAATTATCTTAACACAGAAGATTGTAGGAAATATATATAGTAAGAGACCAGCTGGCAATTCAGAAGTGCTTTGATGATTCAAAATATAAGAGTAATAGTAAAAAGGGAACTAGGTCAAATCATCAAGGACAAATGTAAAAGCAGCACATTCATACAGAAAATCTAACACAGAAAGTTCACATTGCAAAATGAGAAAAGGTAATGTATGTAAAGAACAAATCCCCACAATTCCACAGATATATTAGTAAGAAGAGTAGTGAGGAAGGAGTTACTCCAATATTCATTGAGAAATAAAATGGGCAATGCCAAGAAAATGGAAGTGTTCTGTGCCTTTTTCCTTCATTTTTTCCCCAGAAAGGTCAGTTGCAATCAGATGGCAAGTACAGCATCAGCAGAAAGAGAGGAAGGACAAAAGCAAAAACAGTGAACTACAAGACAAAATTCATAGAGAAGTTAATCTGTTTTAAATAACAATTGGTTACACTCACTCAACAGGTCCTATACAACCCAGAGTAATCTCAACTGTTACCTCTCAGAAATCATGAAAAATACATGAGAATCCAGGAATCTCAAATAAAATAAAATAATGCCTACATATCTACTTTTGAAAAGGAACAAAAATACAAAAGGGTAGACTACAGATACAAAGCTAAGCTGACTGGTGTCATGGTTTGAGGCTGGCAAAATGTCAAAATTACAAAAAAGTCACTACACCTAGATAAAAATATTTTCTAAGTGACACTCTAAAACATAAAAGAATATGATTCATTGTTTGCCAAAAATTTTAGTCATTTATATAGAACTAAGTATAACTTTTGACTTGGACAGAAAAAAAAAGTCTTCCTGACAAAAGGAAATCTATAAGCATCCTATACCTTGACTTTGCAAAGGCATGAGAATAACACTGGAAGTAGTGTGAAATATGCCACAAAAAAGAAGGGCTGTATGAAGTTGTTATAGAATGGGTATAAATAACAGCTGGAAAACTACGGTAAGATACCAGCTTGCTGTGAAAAAAAGTAAAGATGACATTCTGTACTGGATTCTTCCTTTGTCCTTACTCCATTTAGATATCGGAATAAGAAATATGCTTATTAAGACCAGAAATGCTGCCAGGCTTCAATGGCCAAGAATCATACAAAGGAGGTCAGAATTCCATTGACAAACTGGAAAAAACACAGAATCATATGATAGCTTGGTTTCAAAGGCACCTTATGGGTCATCTGATTCCAACCCCTTGCCATGGGTAGGGACACCTTCCATTAGACCAGGTTGCTCAGAGTGCCATCCAATCTGGCCTGGAGAAATGGTCCAGCCAAATAAAAGAAAACAGAAGCCATTCAATAGGCACATGCCCAAAGCTGTGTGTAAAGAAGTTTTTCTTTGTGTGAACATCCCAAGTATCAGATGCAAGAACTATTTCAGCATGCCCAGCAAAGTCAAGCTTAAGCATAGACTTGCAAAGATGATAAAAAACACAGTGAAAGAGAAATAATGAAGGTCCTAGATACTGAGCATTAAAGACCTTCAGTAAGGTCTTTGACACAATCTCTCACAAGATCCTCACAGAGAAGCTGTTGCTGAACAGGCTGGATGTGCAGACAGTGAGGTGGACTGAAAGCTATCTGAATGGCTTGTCCAGAGGGTGGTGGTGAGTGGCACAAAGTCTAACCAAAGGCCAGTATACTCAGGGGTCAATACTGGGTCCAGTCCTCTTCAACATCTTCATTAATGATGTGGATGCTGGGGCAGAGGGCACCCTCAGCACATTTGTTGAGGACACCATGCTGGGAGGAGTGGCTGATACACCAGAGGGTTGTGCTGCCATACAGAAGGACCTTGTCAGGCTGGAGAAATGGTCTGGCAGGAATCTCATATGGTTTAATGAGGGGAACTGCAAAATCCTGCAGTAAAGCCTCCTGGACAATTGCCTCTAGGTGACCCTGTGTGGGCAGGTCAGGTCAGGTGACCTCAAGACCCCTCCAACTTCAAACACTCTGTGGTTCTGTAAACAAGATCTCCTGAAAGGCACAATCTCTGTTCCTTTGTTTTCTTTTGCGGGCTCAAAAAATCGACAGTTATATACAGAATTGTAATATTATCAAAATTCATCAGTGATTAAACTTCAAAGAGAAAGAATTTTAATTAAGAAACATTTTATTTCACGCTTGTTCCTGGGTCAATATGCACAACACCCTTCCATCCCCACCACCCCCTGTCTCAACTGCAGAAATCTCAGTAAACTAGGCTGGCAAAATAGATACAAAAGACCACCATTCAGCAATGCCTTCAATTTCATCTTTTTTTTAACAGTGAGTTGAAAATGTAAAGCACTGCATAAGTGCTTATTATGAGATATACACATGCCAACAGAAGTAATCAGTCCAACAAAGCATATTCCCCTAATATGGCGCTGCTTCCCACCAGAAAAATCTTGTGTCAGAAAACTAAACCGATCTCTGATTGGCACCTGTGCCTGGTTGAAACTGGTACACCATATTGTGAGTGGGCATTTTGCCACTCTAACAGATGGACAAAATTGTAAGCATGCCAAAGAAATAGAGTACTTGCTTATTTTTCTTTTAAACTGGAAAAAATATAGTGTTTCTACACAAACCCAAAAAGTGTTGCTCAGATGGTCCCTCTTTAGGAATACATAAAGTCTGAAAGTTGAAGGGATTCAAAATAAAAAAATACCTATGTAAACCATAAACAAGCCATGGGAGCTCCTTCATTCAGACTGCTAGACTTGAGTATAAGCATTTCTA